CTGAGTCAGACTGCTCTGTAAGGCCTCCTTGGGTGGACTCGAAACCAAGAAGCCCTGGTGTCAACTGCTACAGAAAGGTCAATAGTTTGAACCCACCAACTGCTCTGGAGGGGAAAGATAGAGGCCATCTGCTTCTGTAAAGATTCCAACCTTGAGACCTCTCAGCAGCAGTTCTCCTCTGCCCTGTCGTGTCAGACGAGTTGGAATCAACTCATGTTTATACAGAGATGAACCAATAGAATGATGAGACTGTCTTGGTGAACTTATTTCTAGGGATTGTTAGCCCTTGATTTTATAAAGAAAGAATCAACATAAATAACATGGTATAAGTTGTAGTGGTTGCCAAAGGGTCTTCAAGAAGACAAATAAGGGAAGATAAATGCTTAACTATTTTTCTAGACTCATTCAACTCATTAGAAAGTATTGAGGAGATGTGCTGCAGCTTTTTCATAGACTCTCATTCTGTCTAAAACACTGTATTAGTCCGTAGAGGACCACAAAGTTATACAACAATGTAAAAAGGGGTCATTCCAATGACCCCCAGAGTGTCTTATAAGCTGTGCAATGAAAGCTATTTGGAACTATTAATAGCATTCATGGAAAACCACTTTTCTACAGAGTCTTAAAAACTCATAAAGGCTTTTATTGCTTCGTAAGATGAAATAATTATACTGATACCCATAAAATTAATAAAACCAGCACAAAATTACCAAGGCAAAGGAAAACATGTTTACATGGTAATAGCAATAATATCCGAGTTTATACCTGGATATACAAGCTGAAAAGGGATGGGGAGGTGAATAGAACTACACCTACAAATGTATGTAAGTCTGGCAGAAAATATCCCAACATATGTATTGGCATGTGTTGTGATTATATCCATAAATATGGTAGAGTATATGTTGTTGTTGTTGTTAAGTGCTGTCGAGTTGTAGGCAACTCATAGCGACCCTATGAACGAAAGTCCTCGACACTTGCGTGTGTGACTTTCATCCTTTTGCCAGATTGAGCCTTCCTTAAGGGTAGAGCTTATAGAGGACAAAATTATAACAACACCTTAGCCACAGCCAAGCACCGTGAGAGAATGTGTTACTGAGCCTGGGGGATAGTAAGGCCCATTGGGACAACATAGTCCATATTGACAATGCTCTGTATCCTACTGTGGTGAGTGGTGACTGATGTAGCTTTCTCCACAACAGAGTAAAGAAGGGTGAAGGAAAAAGATGCATGGGAACATTTAAATGACAAATTGGACCATGCAAATCAGCATCCAGTATCCTGAGATCAGAAATATCAGATAGTGCCCAGCCACCACTACCAGCCATTCTGCTTGAAAATATAATGGCAGGCTCTGGGGATGTGAAAGAAAATGTGGAAGAAACTCAAAATCATAAAAAAACAAAAAATAAAACCCAGATTTGATAAGTCTCATATAGAATGATGGAACCCCTGAGACTGTGGCCCTTATATGCTCTTGATCCCTGAAACTATCTACCCCTGTGGATCAATTTTCAGCCAAACAATAGACAGATCTATAAAGGTCTATAACGTGAACATAAACACCCGTGAGAAGCATACTCCTTAAGATAATTAAACTTAATTGACTAAAAGGGTAGTATTTTCCCTGGAGCAAGGATTGGAAATGAGGAAAGAAAGATGAATGGGAATAGGGAGAAATATATTGTTACATAGTGGGGACTATAATCAGTGTAATAAAACAAAATGTGCATGACCTGGTAAATAGAAAACGAATTTGTTCTATAACCATTCACCATATATAGGTTTAAGAATTAATGAAATAACAAATTAACATAGTTTATGAAGTGTGAATTAAATATATGATATGTTCTTAGTCTAACAATTTCAGTAGAAACACATCAGCACCCATAAAACAGCCATAAAATTAAAGCCATACTTGGTTTGAAAATGAACAAAATAGATTGATGTTCCATCCAACTGTTTATGCATATTTAACTTTTCTTAGAATGTTGATTACAATCCTCACATTGTATTGAGGTTGTACTCACTACCTCTGTGCACCTCTTGTTGCGATCCTTTCCCTTTCTGCCCTCTGGGCTTCAGCCATGAACCAAAACTTGTGACCCTGTGTGGTTGATTGAGCTTCTAACCTCCCCAGTGTTAGTGTTCACGGTATAGGTCTGTCTGTTGTTTGGCTGAAAATCGGGCCACAGAAGTGAGTTTAATTCCAATCGCAAGGAGAGTTTAAGATCATAATCTTGAGGGTTTCATTAGTCTCTATCACACCTCTAAGCCTGGTCATTATTCTCATTTTGTGTTTTGCTCTGCATTTATCTCCTGCTTTATCCTGGACCATCCTATTGTGATCCCTTTCAGATAAGTTAGCGGAAGTAGGGGTTTTTTTTTCCCTTTCCTTTTCTTAATTTTTTTAAGGGATTTTAGACAAGAGTATGGCCATCAGTTATTGAGTTGATTTTTGGCCGTAGAATGGCGATTAGATTTTTGGCTTCAGAATGTTTCAGATGTTTCATGGGATTTTAATGGTGCTGACCTTTCAGAAGTATTTCAACAGCCCTTTCCTGTAAGGTGACTCTGGGCGGATTCAAATCACTCAGCACTCCATAAAGCTATATTTATACTCTGACATAAACACTAATGTTTCTAAACTTCCGGCAATAGTAGGGTATAGAATCCATTTCAGCCAGTTTAATAACTATTTGTTAACTTACTAATGGAAAAACTTCTGTCAGGTCCAGTTTGCATTTCTCAATAAGAACCAGTATGAGCAAGACTATTCTAAATGGTGCATATGTAAAGAAAGCGAGGCCCACATGGAGATGGCCGTAACTGACCTTTACCAACTTCACAGAGGGGAACTGTCTTGGTCCATAGCATCAATCACACAAAACCAATTCTCTTGAGATTAGACATATGCCTCATGCTCGCATACCTCATTCTACTCATCTTGACACCAATCTTACTGTTTTTCTAGGTCCAAATTCCAATGTGATCACTCACAGTCCATGCAGAATCATACTGGGGAAGTGAAAAGTTTCTAATCCAGATTAATAACACAATAGGATCAATATAGCTCCCAAAATGTGCACGCAGGTTCTTGAGGCTTAAACCTCGTGGCTTGGTGTTCCCAAGTTCTCAGTCATGCCAATGTTAGCTTCCCACCCCAGTTGTCCAACAAAGTTTTCAGTCCTACCATTATTGACTCTCCCTCCCAAGGTCCCAATTCATGTAAGTCTCTAGTTCAGCTGTAGGCGTAGCTGGAACAGAAAGGGAATCCAAAATTTTTCTGCTTTCTCTTTAATGACACAAGAAGATTTGGGTCTCTCATTTTGGCTTGCTTAATTCAATGGTGAGACTAGCCAATCCCCTTGTAGAATGTTGAAATTGGCCAATCCCTTATGGAATGATAATAGCAATCCAGTTGTGGATAAAATAATATACCCCATTTGCATATTCCCACCCACCTACATAGTAACCCCTCTTTTTAATACAATAGTTACTTCAGTATAAAACAAATACTTTTACCACAACAAGATAAAAGTAAAGAATCCAATAGAAAAATGGGCACAGGATATGAACAGGGACTTCACCGAAGACGACATTCAGATGGCTAACAAGCACATGAAGAAATGCTCAAAATCCCTAGCCCTAAGAGAGATGCAAATTAAAACAACTATGAGATATCATCTCACCCTAGTCAAAATAGCAAAATTTAACAGAACAGCAAGCAACAAATGCTGGCAAGTTTGTGGAGAAACTGGAACCCTGATTCACTGTTGGTGGGAGTGTAAAATGGTGCAACCCCTGTGGAAAGCGGTATGGCGCTTTCTCAAAAAGTTGCAAATAGAGATACCATTTGACCCAGCAATTCCACTACTGGGAATATACCCCTAAGAGACCATAGCTGACATCCAAGCAGATATATGCACACCCATGTTTACTGCAGCTTTGTTCACAATAGCAAGGAGTTGGAAACAACCTAAGTGCCTATCAACAAACGAATGGCTAGAGAAGCTGTGGTATATTCACACAATGGAATACTATGCTGCATTGAAAAACAAGGAACTCATGCAATATTATTCAAAATAGTTGACTCTGGAGAACATTATGCTGAGTGAAATATCCCAGTCACAAAAGGACAAATATTGCATGATACCACTGTTGTAGAATGGGACTAACCTCGGGGTTGGGGAGAGACTGAGTATGATGGGTTCAATAATGTATACTGCACTGAAACAGAGGAGGGAGAAAACTGTTTAAAAGAGATATGTGACTAGGTATTTCTGTCATGACAGGAGTCTAGAGCGATGGCTACATGGGGGAGGGTTTGTAAAACAATGAAAGAATCTTTTCTTTTACTTTTCCATAGTTTTTGACTCATGTACTTATAACTTGTTAGTTAAATTTGTGTCTTCTAGGTTGCAACACCCCCATGATACATCTTCAAGGATATGAACATGTACGGCTAAGCACAACTGATAACAGTGCATCTAAATTCCAAAATCAATCTCCATAATAGTCTATGTGTTTCCTGCTGCCAAAGGGGCCCTTTAGAGTAGTGAGAGAAGATCTTCACCCTGAAACCCACAGCGTCCCTTTTCAGCAGGAAGTAGCTAAGAGAATACGCCATCCCCTTTTCCTTATGACTCAGGGTGAAGTCTCTCTCAGGGAGGAGTGATAGGGAATGGCAAAGGACACACTGACAAAGGAGATTAATCAGAACTGACTTTGACAAGCACTGCAGCAATTGGACAATTAAAACAGACATTCAGATGGTGGGGGAAGAAGAACAAACTAGGGAGGAGGGTGGAGAAAATAGTGCAACAATGAATGAATGAAAACCCAAAATCTCTGTAAATGTTCATTAAAACTAATAAAATTTAATAACAATAAAAAAAACAAGAAAAATAATTTTTTGGCTAGGAAAGATGATTTTGAATGATAAATCTTAGATACCCAGAACATGTGATCAATATTTGACATAATGATTTGTGTTTCTGTAGGAGAAAAACTAGCACTGAAGTGGAATCTTCTAGGAAGCTAGAAGAAACCAAGTTTGCTGTAGCTGAAAATGGTGATGATGAAAAGCTTCAGGTTAAAATACAAGCATTTGAAGAGAAAATAAATGCTGACAGCAACACCCCAACATCTATCAGGAGATACAGTTTGGGCCAAGTTTCTAAGGAAGAAAGAAAAGACATTAGATTTAACAGGTATGGATTTCATTTGTTTAGTTTTTTAAAAGTATTTTCTTCATATTTTGTATTCATTTTATAATTTACTATTAGACCTGGTAAGCTTATTTTTAAATATCTTACCAAGAGCCAACATAGTTTTATCTTTCCATAAACATTGTCTTTCATATATCCAAAGAAATTCACTATTTTAAGTAAGGAAATACAAATGGAAAGTAAATATGTTACTTGTTTTTTAAAAAAATTCTACTTTTAAAATTTGAAAGTAAACGTCTATATTCAAATTGTCATTTGAATGTTCAAAGCTGAATTTTGGAAAACTAGAAATTGTGAAAAATGAAATGGAATGCATGAACATTGACATATTAGGCATTAGTAAAAGAAGATGAGATGGGCTGGCTTTGACCAGTTTGAATCAGATAATTATATGATATCCCATGCTGGGAATGAAAAGCAGAAGGATAATGGTGTTGCATTCATAGTCAAAAAGTCAATTTCAAGTTCTATCCTGAAACAGGATGTTGCAAGTGATAGGATAGTATTCATAACCTTATAAAGAAGATAACTATTATTCAACTATATGTTCCTATAGCTAAAGCCAAAGAGTTGGAAATAAAAACTTTTTACCGAATCCTGCAGTCTGAAATTGACAAAGCATGCAATCAGGACGCCTAAATGATAATTGGTGATTGGAATGCAGAAATTGGAAACAGTGAAGAAGGAATAGCAGTCAGAAAGTATGGACTTGGTAACAGAAATAAAGCTAGAAATAGAATGACCTCATTTTCTATGTTCAATGAATTTATCCATTGCAAATACCTTTTTAAAAAACCACAAATGATGACTTGTCACATGGACCTCATCTGATGAACTACATAGGAATCAGATTGGCTACATCTGTAGAAGGAATTGTTGGAGAAGCTCAATATCAGTACTCAAAACTAGGCTGGGTGGAATGAGGAAAAGACCATCAATTACTCATGTGCAAGTTGAAAATGAGTTTAAAGAAAATTAAAAGAAGTCCGTATTGTTGTTGTTGCTGTTATGTGCCATCGAGTCACCTATGACTGATAGTGACCTTATATACAACAGCTCTGAACCATGCCCTATCCTGAGCCAGTCTCGCTGACTCCAACAGTCTATTCCACCTGAATTTCAAAACCATCATAAGAGTAGTTTTGAAGCATTGAACATCAGTGATTGAAGACCAGACAAATTGTCATCAAAAGAGCAAAAGGCCATTGCAAAGAACTTTTGCTTTGCAAAAACCTTTCTGAGAAGAAAAAAAAAAACCAAAACGCAGCAAAATGGGCCTCAGAAGAGACTCTGAAAATTGCACTAGAGCATCAAGAAGCCAAAACAAAGGAAAAGATGCCAAAGTAAAAGACTTGAACAGAAGATTTCCAAGGGCAGCTTAAGAAGACAAAGCAAAGCATAATAATGGAATGTGTAGAGAGGTGGAATTGGAGAATAAAAAAGGAAGAATTCACCCCGCTTTTCTCAAGCTGAGAGAACTGAAACACAAATTTAAGCCTTGAGTTTCAGTATTGTGATGCTATAGACAATATGTTGGATGATCCAAGAAGTATCAAAAGAAGATCAAGGGAATATACAAAGTCACTGTACCAGAAAGAACTGATTGACATTGAAAAATTTCAGGAAGTACCATATGAACAGGAGCCAATGGTAATGAAAGAGGAAGTGGAAGCGACATTGAAGGCATTGGCAAAAAAATAAGGGCCCAGGAATAGATGGGATATCCATTGACTTGTTTCAACTAACAGATGCAGCGTTGGATGCATTCACCAGACTATGCCAAGAAATTTAGAGGATAGTTGCCTGGGCAATGGATTGGAAGAGGTCCATATTTGTTCCAAAAACCAAGAAATATGATCTAACTTAATATGGAAACTGTTGAACAGTATTGTTAATATCACATGCAAGCAAAATACTGCTGAAGATCTTATAAAGACAACTAGAGCAGTATATACATAGGGAACTGTCAGAAGTTCAAGCAGGATTTAGAAGAGACCGTGGCACCAGAGATATCATTGCTGATATCAGAGGGATTCTGGCTGACAGTAAAGATCACAAGAATAATGGGTCTTTATGGTTTATTGACTAGAGAAAGGTGGATTGTAACAATTTATGGCTAACATTGAGAAGAACAGAAATCCCAGAACACTTAATTGTATTCATGTGAAACCTATACCTAGACCAAGAGGCTATTGTACAAACAAAACAAGGGAATACTACATGGTTTAAAATTAAGAAACAAATGTGTCAAGGTTGTATTCTTTCTCCACACTTATTCAATCTGTATGCTAAGCAAATTATTCAATAGCTGGAAGCTATGAAGGAGAATATAGCATGAAGTTCAGAGAAAGACTCATCAATAACCTGTGTTGTGCAGATGACACAAACTTGCTTCTGAAAATGAGGATGATTTGAAGGACTTGCAGAAGATGAAAGAACACAGTCTTCAATATGGATGGCATCTCAATGTCAAGAAAACGGAAATTCTTATCACTAGACCAATAGGCAGTATCATGAAATATGGACAAAAGATTAAAGTTGTCAGTGATTTCATCTTGGATCCCCAGTCAACACCCTTGGTAGCAGTAGTCAGGAAATCAGGAGATGAATGGCACTGGGAAAGTCTGCAGCCAGGGACCTCTTCAAATTATAGAGGAGTAGTGATAACTTGTGGTTGCTGTGATGCTGAACACTGGGACACTGATGTGCCAAACGTGGTAATCATTACTCATGGTGGACAGTGTTTGCTGGAGCTTCCTGACTAAAACAAGCCTGGAAGCAGGAGCAGCATTCACTTCTGAAATGGCTTGCCTCCAGAAACTCTATGTATCAACAGTACTCAGATCTTTCGTTCATAGGGTCACTATGAGTTGTCTACAACTCAACGGCACCTAACAACAAACAACAACAGTGATGTCAGTTTGAGTTCTAAGGTGCCTCTGATTCAGGCAATGTTCTTTCTGATCACTAGCTATGCATCTGAGAACTGGACAGTGAATAACAATGAAACAAGAATTGATACTTTGAATTGTGGTGTTGGAGAAGAGTACCGAATATCCCGTGAACTTACAAAAGGACAAATATTTCTTGGAGAAAGTGCAGCCAGAGTACTCCTTGGAGGAAAAGCTTCATCTCACATACTTTGGGCATGTTGATAAAAGAGGCAGTTCCCTGGAGAAGGATATCATGCTTGGAAAGGTGGAAGGTCAGTGAAAGAGAGAAAGTCCCTCAACCAGGTGGATTGACACGATGACTGCTGCAATGGGCTCTAGTGTGTCAGGAAGTTTGAGGACGGCACAAGACAGGACAGGATTCAGATCTGTTGCTTACAGAGTCACTCTAGGTCATCCTCGTCTCTACGGCACCTAATAATAACAATCTTTAAAACATTTGTTGTTGTTGTTACATGTCATTGAATTGACCACAACTCATAGCAACCGTATCAACAATGGGAGGAAACTTGGCACCATCCTGCACCAGCCTCATCATCCCCCATGCTCCCATTGCTTTAGTCACTGTGTCAGTCCGTCTCCTTGAGGGTCTTCTTTTCTTCATTTAATCTTCCACCTTTCATTGCCCGATGTCTTTTCCAAGGATTGGCCCCTCCAGATAATATGCCCCAAATATGTGAGGCCAATTTCCACCATTCTTACCTCTAAAGAGCACTCTGGTTGCGTTCCCTCCAAGACATATTTGCTTGTGTTTTTGGAAGCCCATGGAATAGTCAGTTCTCTTCTCAAACACAATTCAAAGGCATCAATTCTTCTTCTATCATCCTTATTCATTGTTCTACATCAGAAGCAATTGAAAATGCTATGGCTTATTTCAGGCCTTTAAACTGGTTCCATTGATTTTTATCACATTAGAGAGATCCGTGACAGCAGGTTTCCCCAACACACAGCAGCTGTACCAATCCTGGGGAGCCCTGGTGACTTTGGTGGTCAAAGGTCAGGCTGCTAACCTTAAGGTCAGCTATTTAAACCCACCAACCACTTGATGAGAGAAAGACAAAGCAGTCTATTTGTGCCTGTTAAGATTTACAACCTCACAAATTCCACAGAGGGTCAGCATGATTTGAGATCAAATTAATGGAAGTTTTCTACTGAAATTGAGAATGTCTGTCAAAAGCTTCCCTTGTTTTCTGATGAGAAAGCCAGACACAGACAGAGGGGGAAAAATAACATTGTAGAAACTCTCCATTTTGTAGCCAGTTTTTTCCACAAAATTGACCATTTAATTCTTAGTTTTAGATTTATAGTTGATCTCTAAAAGTTTATTTTATTACACAGTTTGTTGGTGGTTTATATTTCATTAAAATCACTAATGATGCTAATTTTCAGTTTCACACTGTAAAGGATATAACTTTTTCACTGACTTATGAGTGACTGGAATGCAAAAGTTGGGAACAGAGAAGAAGGATCAGTAGTTGGAAAATATGGACTTGGTGACAGAAATGAAGCTGGAGATAAAATGATTGAATTTTCCACAATCAATGACTTATTCATTGCAAATATGTTTTATAAGAAACACACAGGCATGTTATACACATGGATTTCACCTGATGGTGTGCATAGGCATCAGGTTGATTACATCTGCGGAAAGAATCACTGGAGAAGATTAATATCAGCTGTAAAAACTAGGCCAGGTGCTAATTGTGGAATAGACCACCAACCACTCATGTGCAAGTTGAGGCTGGAGCTAAGGAAAATGAAATCAAATCCACAGGAACCAAAATACAACCTTGAGTCTATCCCAAATGATTTTCAGGACCATCTCAAGAACAGGTTTGAGGCCCTGAACACCAGTGAGTGAAGATCAGATGAGTTATGGGAGGATATCAAGAGTATCATACAGGAAAAATGGAAAAAGTCGTTACAAAGACAGAGGAGGAAGAAAATACCCAAAATGGATGCCAGAAGAGACTCTGAATATTTCACTAGAGCTCCAAGAAGTCAAAGCAGAGGAAAGAATTCAAGATATTAAATAGCTGACAGAAGATTTAAAAAGGCGGCACGGGATGACAAAGTAAAATATTACAATGAAACGTGCAAGGAGCTGGAGTCAGAAAATCAAAAGGGCTGAACTCGCTCAGCATTTCTTAAGCTCAAGGAACTGAAGAACAAATTTGAACCTCGAGTTGCTATAGTTAAGGATGCTTTGGGCAGAAAATTAAATGATCCAGGAAGTAGTAAAAGAAGAAGTTGCAGAGTCATTGTACTGAGAGGAATTGGCAGACACAGAAGAATTTTATCAAACAACATATGAGCCTATGGTGATGAAGGAAGTTCAAGCTGCTTTGAAGGAATTGGCAACAAATAAGTCCCCAGGAATAGATGGTATACCAATTGACATATTTCAACTAACAGATGCTGCCCCGTATGTGCTCACCGAGTTGTGTCAAGAAATCTGGAGGACAACCACTTGGCCAACTGACTGGAAGATACCTGTATTTGCTCCCATTCCAAAGAAAGGTGATCTGACAGAGTGTGAAATTTTATCAAACACGATCATTAATATCACATGCAAGGAAGAATCTGCTGAAGATTATCCAAAAATTGATAAACTGGAGCAATACATCAACAAAGAACTGCCAGATGTGCAGGCTGGGTTTAGAAGGCATCATGGTACTAGGGATATTGTAGCTAATGTTAGATGGATCTTAGCTGAAAGCAGGGAATACTAGAGGAATTTCTATCTGTGTTTCATTGATTATTCAAAGGCATTTGACTGTGTGAATCACAACAAACAGTGGCTGACTCTGAGAAGAATGGGAATCCCAGAACACTTGATCATGCTAATGCAAAACCTATGCTTGGACCAAGAGGCAGACATCAGAACAGAGCAAGGAAACACTGCATGGTTCAAAATTAAGAAGGGTGTATGCCAGGGATGTGTCCTTTCTCCACACCTTTTCAACCTGTATACAGAACCAATTATCCAGGAGGTTGGGCTCTATGAGGAGAAGTGTGGCCTCAGAATTAGTGGAAGATCCATCAACAAACTGTATTATGCAGATGACACAATCATGCTTGCTGAAACTGAGGAGGACCTGAAGCACTTGCTGCAGAAGGTCAAAGACTGCAGCCTTCAATATGGATTGAGGCTCAATGTCAAGAAAACAAAGATTCTTACCACTTAGCCAATTGGCAGCATCAGGATGGATGGTGAATAGATTGCGATTGTTCACAGCTTTAGTTTGCTTGGCTCCACAGTCAACACTCTTGGCACCAGCAGCCAGGAAATTAAAAGAGGTGTTGCGATGGGAAAATCTGCTGTTAGGGACCTCTCCAAAGTACTGAAGAGCAAGGTGTCTCTCTGGAAACTAAGGTGCATCTGATACAGGCCATGGTTTTTGCAATCACTTGCTATGTGTCTGAGAGCCGGACAATCACTAGGGAGGACAGAAGGAGAATTGATGCCTTTGAGCTGTGGTGCTGGAGAAGAGTATTAAATATAGCATGGACTGTTAAGAAATGAACAGGTTCATCCTAGAGAAGGTTACACCAAGCTTCTCCTTGAAGACAAGGATTCTGAAGCTTTGTCTGACATAATTTGGACATGTTGCAAGGAGGGACCAGTCCTTGGAGAGGGAGTTCATGCTTGGGAGCATGGAGGGACAGTGCAGGAGAGGAAGACCTTTGATGAGATGGATTGATTCAGTGACTGGGGTAATAATGGGAGTAGGTGTGTCAGAGACGTAAGATTGACACAGGATAGAGCAGGGTTTAGGGCTCATGTACATGGGTCTGCTATGAGTCACAGCCGACTTGATGGCACATAACAACAGCAGTATTTTTTCACTCGTCAGTGACTACTAGTCTAACTACTTTAACTTTCTCTTTGTATCGTAGGTCAAAAAGTCTAGCTTTGCACACTGTGCTAATGAAGAGTGTGAGCTCAGATGACGGGCAAGAAGAGAAGCCTGGAAATATGCAAGTCAGCATCTCTCTCTCAGATATAGGCCTGTTTTGCCAAGAAAACGACAACTTGGCTGTGAAGGCAGAAACTGACAGACCTCAGCTGGAAAGCTCCTCCGCTTCACACCCAAGTATTATACATATAGAATCAGAACATTTTCCAGAAACAGTTACAGAAAGCTTCCAAGGAGCTCCAGCAACTGCGGCAAGTCCTGAAGAATACCATGATAAGCTCTATTTATATTTAAAGGAAAACCTCAGTAAAGTGAAAGCATATGCCATGGAACTCAGAAAGAAGATTCCAGTTCCTGATCAGTGCACCATTGAAGGTGAGTGTTCTCTGCTTCCTCAGTTGGTGAAATTTCCGGCATTATTTGGAGGGGAGGGGAGGAGAAGAAACCATAGCATAAACTCAAATCACATACAAAATAAACTTAAAAGTACCATTGTTGTTGCTGTTATGTGCCATTGAGTCAATTCCAGTTCATAGCAACCCTATGCACAATAGCTCTGAACCCCACTCTATCCTGAGTCAATCTCATTGTCTCTGACACACCTGCCCCCATTACCACAGTCACTGTGTCAATCCATCCCATTCAGGTCTTCCTCTCCTGCACTGACCCTCCACCCTCCCAAGCCTGATGTCCTTCTCCAAGGACTGGTCCACTCTTGGCAACATGTCCAAAGTATGTGAGACAGAGTTTCACAATTCTTGCCTCTAAGGAGCAGCTTGGTTTCACCGAGGACAGACTTGTTTGTTCTCCTGGCAGTCCATGGTATGTGCAATACTTTTCTCCAGCACCACAACTCAAAGGCATCAATTCTTCTCCTGTCATCTTTAGTCATTTTCCAGCTCTCTGATGTTTAGCAAGTAAATGTGAAGATCGTGGCCTGTATCAGACACACCTTAGTCTCTAGGCTAACATCACTGCTCTTCATCTTCTAATGACCAAGACTTTAATGAGAGAAAAACAAAGCTTACCTTCCAGAGAGACGTACAGCTGATGAGCAGTGAGCAGTGAACAGTTCACATTCACCCACTCACTAGCAAGCATCCTCTTCCAGGTCCAGGCATTATCACTGAGCCCACGTCGCTCTCAAATCAGCCAACTCATGACAACCCCATTTGTGTCCAATCAGCAATGTGTCCTTAGCATTTTCAGGGGATGTTTTTTTCAGAAGTAGATCATAAGACCTTTTTTCCTAAGTCGTGCTGCACTGACTCAGACATTCACACTGTCGGTTAATAGCCATACACATTAAGTACTTGGCCCTCAGAAGAACTAAAACAAAACCAAAAGACACAAAAAACCAAACCCACTGCTGGAGAGTCAGTTCTCACTCACCGTGGTACGTACTCCATGCAGTTTACGTCTGTAAGGCCTCAACTTCTTCCCTTGGAGCAGTTGCTGGATTTGAACCACCAATTGTCAGTCTGAAAAAAACATACAATGACATCAGAACTCTTTTTCCAGTGTTGTGGGCATTTTCCACAACTCCATTATTCTCACCAAGTTGTGTCAAGAAATCTGGAGAACAAAAACTTGGCCAACTCACTGAAAGAGATCTATCTATATTTGTTCCTATCCCGAAGAAAGGTGACCCAACAGAGTGTGAAAACTACAGAACAATCTCACTGATTTCACATGCAAGCAAGATTTTACTGAAGATTATCCAAAA